ATCAACATTGACCAAATCACCGCCAGTCCTTTGCAAAAGGCAGCTTCACTTGGAACAGCTTCCATCCTGTGACCTTATATCCTTTAACAACATCCAACCGCAATATTGGGTCCTTGGGAAGGTGGATAAAAATGCCAAATCCAGTCTAAACATCTGGCTGACTGTGCGACCAACAATAATATGTTAGGCTGGAATAAACCCTACAGGAAAGGATGCTGGAAATTTCCTTCAAAACTGCAACTTACCCAACTGTTTAGAGTTTTGTTAAGGTATGCAGATGAGGGTCTGGTTGAAAGAAGAAAGATTTTTTCCTGCAAACATGAGCTGTATCCTAGGTTGTTACTTTTGGGTTCTAACATTAACTGCAGTTTTACAGTAACTCTAATTCAGCTTATGCCCAGAAGCTGCACATATGGCCCCACTGATAAAATGCCACACTCTCTCTCTCTCTAATCCAATTATACTGCTGAATCCGGCTATCATGAGACAAGAACAAAAGGCACATTTCTGTCACTGAAAGGAGAAAGTGTGCTTCTGTGTTCTGAATCAAGGCTTCCACAACCAAAGTGGACAATCCCAAATTTAAGTTGTTCAGGAAAAGCAAACATCTTGGGGCTTTTTCTTGTCCTATAGTATTTTATGTATGAATACAATGTCAGTATTTGAATACATGTCAGTTAAGGACTTTTATAGATGGAACAATACAAGGAAGTGATAAGGGTTATCATGTGGTTCAGTGAATCCATGGATCTCTCCACATAATAGCAGATTCTGCCAGTCTTCTTTTAGAAAGAGGTTCTCTGCACCTTCAAAGGCTTGGTCTTTCCACTGAAGAGAATGTCCAGCTTTTGATAGCAGGAGAACACCAGCCATGCTTTGGAGTTTATGAGAAGACAGGATCATTTGTAGATACAGTTTAGAAAGCTAGGATTGTCCTGTAGATCTATTTTCATGTAGACCTACTTCCAAGTAAATAATTTATTCAGTAAGTCACAATAGAGTTACACAACATGCCAGGTCGAAGCTATGGTTTAGCCTAGTGTGTGAACAGGCCTTAGGGAGTACATTTTATAATGTGTCTTCAATGTTGCATCACTGTAACTGTGTCATATGTAGATAATCCATACATTTGCATGAAGCATACTTGACGAAGTATTTTGCAAATATAAACCAAGTTGGCTTTTTAAAAGATTATCAAAAGAAAAATGCATTTACATGTTCAATAAATCTAGTTTATTGCTTCACAGGAAACATATTAACAAAGTCAGATCTCACCTCAAAAGTCAAGCAGATAAGTATATCATGTATCTACAGTTGAAATTTCCTAGTACTGTAGAAAATAAGCATAATTTATAATAAATATTGCACACTTCCTCCAAACTGCTGTAGGATGGAAGAGAAATATGACATGTATTTCCTTCTTCCTATTCCTGTCTGCAGTGTCAAGTTTTTTGTGTTATCATTATTATTTGCAAAAAAATTGATCTGTATATATTTTAAAGTGCATGTAACTTCCAATCAGAACTAAATTACAGCAAGAAGAATACATATCCATCAAGATGTAAAATCAAATATGTAAAAATAAATGCAAGAATACAATGTGTTTTCTTTATTAAACTTTATGAGGACCTTTAAAAACTATGCATATATCTAGAATGATAAGTATATCCTATACATACAAAGGTCCAACTTCATTCATCCTGGATTAAATCAACAGTAGGAATATCATGGCCTTCTTGCAATTCCTGAAACCCTCCAAAAATTCACCATTAAAAGTGGTGGGGAAATGATGATTTGAAGCAGCATGAGTAATTTTGAGGAAATAAAGGCTAAAATAGGTATGTAAAACTTTTGAAAACCTAAACCTTTGGCCCCCAAAACTGTCAATATTTTCTACTCTGACCCATTCTGTAATACTTCTACATCATAGCCATGATCCCTGGGGCACAAAAGTCTTTTTAAAAACCAAAATAAAAAAAAATTGTTCACCCCTGGAGCAATCTAATGCAGCAGTTGTAGGAAAGATTCCTCCTTAAAAGATTAAAGAACCATTGTCCCCTAGAATAAATTATATTGGACGTGGACCAGTTCACTAAGTCCATTGAGCACAATGATACATTTCTGTATACTGAGTTAACAATCCTATGGAACCTTTACATGAGAAAGTGCTCCATTCAGTGTTTGGATATGAAGCTGGACTTTCCATTAAAATTGGTGCATAGTTCTAAATAAATAAATAAAAAGACAATAAATTTGTCTAAAAAGAGGTCTTGTCAACTAATGCAATAATCCTATGGACCTTTGTGGCCATAGAAGTGTTTGGATCTTCTTTGATGATGAAGGAAGAAGTCACTCCTAGGTGAGAATGAGTCATCCTTGTGAGGCTCCAGAAACTTAAAAAAAAGAAAAAAGGAAAAAAAGCTGGTATTCCTTCAGTCCCAGCAGGGAGAAGGAACCATTTTCCAAAAGCTAAACATCTGTGTCATCAAAGTCTTCCAGCTGCAGGCCATTATCAGAAAATGGAGAAATTTATACTATTAATTGGGATTAATGGAGAAAATATGTAACACTCACTTAAGGCAAGAAGCAAGCAGGACACTGAAAATGGTAGCATGATTTCTTCCACCCAGAGGAGTCCCCTATTTGGCTACAATTCTATATGCCCATACCGTGGACTATCTGCCATTGTCCTCAATGGGACTTAATTTTTTATATATATTTTATATAAGATAGATCTATAAACTACTTTAATTTGGATCATACTGCATACGTACTAACTGCATAATACTACTTAAAACAGGCATCAGTTAGAAGTACTGAGTTCCAAATCCAGAGGCCTTTCTGAGACAAAGGTGAGGTGGTACATTTTCACTGAAATAAATAATTATTTATTGTTTGTTTATTTATTTTACAGACAAAGAATCTCTTCTATATCTTAGTGCTCTCACGCCATTAAATTGTCACTGCACTGATGTAAAAGTGACTGTCATAGGACAAACACATGGAGGAAAATCCTGTCCTAGAACACATTAGAAAATTATTTGTATCTATTTTTATATTATTTTTAGAAAAAAAAATTGTTTTGTTCCATGACTGAAGCAAACAAGGCACCTTTATTCCTTCCAAGTTCCTTTGTGAAGTTCTTCCATTTTCAATCTGCTAAATTGTCTTCATTTTCACATTACTCCAGCTCAATTTCTCCTGCATAGAGCGTGATGAGCAGAATTGCAGTAAACCCTGTGAGCAAGCCAGCATTCTGAATCAGGAAAAAAACGAGATCTGTTTTCCTTCCAGTTACTTTTTCTCTCAACATATCATTCAGCTCTGGAAACTGGAGTTGCCGGGGGAATAAAACCACAAGAAAGAGAAAGATTGTCAGGTAAGTCCTGCCATCTAGTGGTGGAACAGCACAAGTGCATTCAATTTCTTAAATGCATTCGTTGATTTATTGTACATCACGGGTAAGATTGGATATGATTTCTAAGATCCTAAGGAAAAAAAACCCCTAAAGATTTGGAGACAAACCATCCTGGATAGTAGGGCCAAACAATTACTTCACCAAGAAACGAACAAGAGAAAAGATACTGTCTATTTAGTTCCAAATCTCTTTTCTTAGTTTTGGGACTTGCTCACATGTCCATCTTATGCAAGAGACATTTTAGTGGTCTGTGTACCAAATCTAAGCTATACTCATCTTGGTTTGGATCAACCTATCTTGAATTAAGTTGAGCTTAATTCAAGTTAAGCTGAGCTTAAGTCTCAGTTAAGGTGATCTGCAGATCTAGCTGCAAAACCTGATAAGTTGCAATGTTTTATAAGTAGGAAAAAAAAATAAAGCAGGCTAGGGTAATCAAGGAGGAGAGACTGTGGAACCCTTGGTGGTCTCTGAGCTTGGTTGTTTGCTTGTAGACATTTCATTACCCAACGAGGTAGCATCATCAGTGTTACTGAGTATGGGGTTTTCTCCCTGTTTATATTCAGTAGCTTGCTCTGCCATTGTTGGTGGGAGTGTGGTTTTCTCCTTAGTAGTTCCTTGATTAGGATATTGTTGATTGTCTAGTGTTGATCCCTACTTATCTAGGTGGCTGCTGGATGGAAAATGGATACCCACACAACTTTATAAAAAAGTGTGTGACCACTCAACCCACTACAGCACAACCAACTGTAGCAAACAAGGCACCTTTATTCCTTCCAAGTTCCTTTGTGAAGTTCTTCCATTTTCAATCTGCTAAATTGTCTTCATTTTCACATTATTCCAACTCAATTTCTCCTGCATAGAGCGTGATGAGCAGAATTGCAGTAAACCCTGTGAGCAAGCCAGCATTCTGAATCAGGAAAAACCCTGGAAGCTTGGCATTCAGACAAATCAGCCATCAACAGACACATAGAGATAAACCATATTTACACACCATTCAAAAGAGACAATAAAAAAGCTACAAAAAGGATAATACTGCCATACATCATAAATATCTCAGAAACAACCAACAGACTATTACAACCACCCAGCATCACCATAGCACACAAACCAACTAAAGCCCTCCAAAACATCTTAAACCAAAGGACCCAGTAACCCAAGAAGAAAAGACAGGAGTCATCTACAACATTACAGTGTAAGGACTGTAATCGCCACTATGTAGGACAGACAGGCAGAAGATTAGCAGAGTGCAACCATGAACACCAGCTAGCAGTCAGAAGACATGATGAAAACTCCCTAGTCTCACAGTGCATGGACAGACTCAACCATAGTTTCAACTGGGAAACTGTGAGCATCCTAGACCAAGCTAA